TTCGACAGTGCCCAGAAACGTTTGGAAGGTTCGGAACCAATGATTCCAACGCGTTGTTGCGTCTGGAGAATTAGGATCTGCGTCGAAACACTTGGGTCGCAGCAACGGTTCCATGGTATTCTTGGACGAGTAAATTGTTACGAATAGAATATGGATTCTGATTGAGCGCGAGAACAAGAATGAATGGCGTAGAATGAATAGCGCTTTACTTGTCTAAGAATAGACGTACATAAGCTGAAAATGAAGGCGAAGGCATGGTTAATACGAAACGATAATATGAGCACAAAGAATATTCATGACACCGTCCCAGCAACGTTGGCACAAAGGTTACGAGATAGAGTATCACCGGTTTCCGCCGATCCATCTTATCGTTCTTTACTTCGCTTTTCTGTTGGTTCCCATACCTAAAGGCGACCGAACGTTGATCCATAATCAGTTTAAAATGTCTTTCGAGGAGATAGCGGCGCTATTTGAGGATCGCTTCGACAACAGCTTATGCTTCTTTTTCAAAAGCAGAATGATTTTTCTCGCTTGCGGTCAGGGTTCTGGAGAAAAAGACGACCTACCGGTTACCCTGGCTCAGGGATGCACCAATAGCCACGACGAGAGGGATATTGTAGTCGACAGTAACTACCATTGCATTCTCTAGTTCGTGTTTATGGTCCTCGAATGCTGTTCAGACATTCTCCGGAATCGGAAATATTTTGTTTTTAACCAATGGATGAATTTTGTCAAAAAACGCCGGTATCCACTCTGAATAGTAGGCGAACAAACCAACGGCTCTTTGCTGCGATTTCCCGTTCTGTGGAATTGGGAGTTCTCTTATGGGGCGCATGCGTTCTGGGTCAAGTCTTGTAATACCTTTGGAGACCTTGTAACCCAAGAGAGTAATCTATTCAGTTGGGAAGCTGCTTTTTCAATCACTCAAAGTAATATTGTATGTTTTAGCGACATCGAGAAAATGCCTAAGATTACGATCATGTTCAGTTCTCGCTTTGCCGCATACAGTTACGTTATCCACATAGGCGAATGTGTCTTTCACCTGTCCGGCTTTGTTTAACGTTCGTTGAAAAGACGCGACGCCGTTTGTCACTCCAAAAGGAATGCATCGAAACTGGTAAAGGTTCTCGCCGGCTTCGAATGCTGTGAATGACTTGTCTGACTCGATTATTGGAACCTGGTGATATGCACTCTGGAGATCTAGTGTACTGCAAACGGTATAGCGTGCGATGGTTTTAATCATTTGGTCCAGCCTTGGTAAAGGATAAGCGTCAAGGTAGGTGAAGCGATTGATGGTCTGGCTGTAGCCTATCACCGTGGGTCTTTTGTGATTCGCATTGCGCGTTACGAGCACTTGTGCACTCCATGAAGAATTCGATGGTTTGACGATGCCATTGGTAAGCATTCGGTTTGCTTCGGTTTGTATGAATTGTTCGTCTCCCGGTGCATGACGGCGAGATTTTGTGGCGATCGGTTTGTAATTCACAGAAAGATTGGTGAGTAAGGATGGGGATTCCAGTTTCGCGAATGTTACGCCACATACAGTTAGAATGTCCCACTGGCCACCGAATGGAATTTCGGCTCTATCATGTAACACCAGAAGGTCATGTCCGAGAAGGACGTCTGCACAGAGGTTCGGTAATACACAAAGTTCGAACCATTCGTATGTAGCATCGTTGGGGGCGAGATGGACCAAGTGATTAGAGCGCGAATTTACTGACTGGAAGGTCCGTGGTTTGAACCCGACCTCCGCCTCTCGACTTCCTCTGTCTAGGCTTGGGCAACCTGACAGTATCCCAGCCCTCGTGCTTCCTTCGTGTGGCATGGCAGCTAGACACCGAAAGGGTGCTACAGCTGAACGATTAGAATCGTTGTACTGAATGGACACAAGGCAGTAACCTCCGTTGGAACATGAATGTATCGTCGACGCCACTGTTATCACAGAACCGTACGGAGATAGCTTTCAGTTGTGAGTTTGCATGACTGATGAAGAAACGAAACTCCTGGAGCTGCCGGTATTAATAAGAGCTCGGACAACAACGCCGTTGACCAAAATATCTGTTGTAGTTTTGGATAAGCAATAGGGCCCGACCTAAAGCTGCCACCTTGACGTGGTGGTCGGGCTTCAGTGCTGCAATGATCCCGCGGGCTACACTGGTTGGAACTTCGTTCCACAAGGTGCAACCATGCCAGGAAGGCCAAAGGGGAGCAGCCAGACCAAGAGCAGCGAGACCCCGTACTACGAGTAATCGTGCTACGAGGCTTTCTGGGGGTAAAGTCGTACTGTCCTCTGCGACAGGAGTGTGAAGGCAGTAAGGTGTTTCCCCCAGGCGACCAGCATGTCCATATTTATGGAAGCAGCGATGCTGCCTTCCCCCGAGGAAGGACGGGTTAGAAAAGGTCGGCCCCAAAAACCGCACACTCCGATCGCCCAACGGTTGACCGTGACCGCCGGCGCATTATCCGATACGGTCGAAATACTTTTAAAACCAAAGAGCC